CTTCCGATGTCAGCTCTTGACCCGTCACTCATCTCTTCGCCTCCATTTCTTTGATCACCTGTCAGTTAGCATGAGCTAGACGGAGGTGCCACAGTTTTAATGAGGGCGTAGACTGGGTCGACACCTGCAGCAGCGCTAGCGATTTGCTCTGCTGGGGAGTCTCCACGACCGACTGATACAAACCATCGAGAATGCCAAACTTCCAGGTGTGTTTAGTCACTGGATTGACTAGCGTACTGGTGTCTTGGTCGTCACTCATCTGCAATTTGAATCCAAACTGAGTGTACGTCAGTCGCTGCCGTGGCTCCGTCCACAAACAAAGCCTCAACAGTGATCATGATTTTCGCCTTAAGGACAGCATCTACTATCACCATCTTGATCATGCTCTTATACTTGGGCTGCAACGTTGTCGACTTCTAGATCCACCTTACCACGGTATCATTGTCTTCTGTCATCGAAGCGAACGCATTGCGGCATCCGCAGATGTGCACACCGAATGCGTTATCCAGCACGAAAGACACATAAAAGCCAACTGTAGACTCAGTCTTTAATGATTCGTTAGCAAGGTAAGGTACGTCGTCGTTAATTGTCCACCACGAGCGGAGCTTGTCCCACCAGAATGCCTTTTCTTCCCTTGGGTATTAAACGAACTTTCACCTCGGGTTTGCTGAGGTGCCGAATTCGCTACGGTCGCAGAATGCAGATTTTTTCTGGCTCGTGCCTCAGACACTGCCTTAGCCTGTTGCATGCGCTCCTCTTTACTACCGTCTTACCCCGCATATAAGGCATAGGTGCTGTAAATGAATACAACGCTGCTTGTGTGTTATATTCATTTAGAAAGCCTATGTGTTGTACAACGAACAAATTGTTTGACTTTGAAGAAGCAAGTCTGTGGGTCCTGGAATATGGCTTGGTCGTTTAGGCTTGACCCTCCTACGCGATCGGCGTGGGTTCAAACCGCCACGCTGTGCTTCTTGCTAAGAGCAGCAAAGCCGTGACCTTTCACGCCTATCCGAGTCTGCTAGAACAGCGAGTTTCTCGTGGATACTATAGCTACGTCGCTCAGCACTCATGACTGTGTAAATTATTAATTAAGAGAATTAAAGCCAAGTAACAGCAGCACCGACTACCGTCTTACCCCGCATATAAGGCATATGTGCTGTAAATGAATACAACACTGCTTGTGTGTTATATTCGTTTAGAAAGCCTATGTGTTGTACAACGAACAAATTGTTTGACTTTGAAGAATCAAGTTTGTGGGTCCTGGAATCTGGCTTGCTTGACCCTCCTACGCGATCGGGTAGGGTTCAAACCCGCCTGCGTGCAGTTCACATTATGTTGTGATTGGTAACGGGTTTTTCTTCTGCGTTGTACTGTATACGGAGGTTTTGCTTGCGACTGTAATATTATGAATTCTATTATTGTTTTTTTTCTTTTAATAAGAACTGTTTGCATTACATGTAATCACGTGTATTATATTATGTATCCATCTACTTTCACTGCGAAATATGATCCGGAGCGAGCCAAGCACAGCGTTTTCAGAGGATTTTCAACCGTGTACGAGAATTTGGACAGCAGCTTATTGTCCTTGTCAGCAGTACTTACCTATAGCTACGTCGCTCAGTACTCATGGCTGTGTTAATATTTTTTTTTAGAGAATTAAAGCCGAGTAACAGCAGCACCGACAAGTTTGTTCAGAAGGGTGGTTGGTTGGGAGCTCTCACGAATATTCATTGGTTGGTACAGCCTTGTGTTTTAAGTAGGTGTCAGCCACATGTGTTCTAATTAGGTAGGTGGTCAAATTGAGGTTTAAGCTAGATGTCGAGCGAATCCCGTATTTTATTTAGAACACATATGCCTTATATGCGGGGTAAGACGGTAGTTTGTTCAGAAGGGTGGTTGGTTGGGAGCTCTCAAGAATATTCATTGGTTGGTACAGCCTTGTGTTTTACACATGTGTTCTAATTAGATAGGTGGTCAAATTGAGGTTTAAGCTAGATGTCGAGCGAATCCCGAATTTATTTAGATCACATATGCCTTATATGCGGGGTAAGACGGTAGTCAACTTGATTTTGACTTGCTGCAATGTGTAATCATCGAGGTTGTCAAATGTCTCCACCATGCTTTCGTATTTTTCGCCAAGTCCAGTTAAGGAAGCAGTTATCACCTCGCGGTCCGGTACCTCCTCCCCCATTTGAGGTAGTTTCTGACGATCGCCTCTCACGATGGATATGATCACGAACAGACTCATTATCACCGTCAAACTCCACATTGAGTAATTCACGACGATTAAACAGAGCTACAGCGATGATTTCTTTCTCGAGTCTTCGCCCAGTGAGCTCCACTTTGCCTGTGGTGTCTTCAAATGAACCAGTCTGACCCGCGTCCCGTCGTCTAGTGTATTCCTAAGGATGTCGTTTAACAACAGAACCTTCTCCTTCCATTTCTTGCGCCGGGCTGCCGACTCCGATGTTCCGTCGCTCTCGGGCTTGGTTCTTCTCCCGATGAGAATCTTCCAAAACTTGCGAGCCTTTAACACCGCCTTCAATCCCTCTTTGTAAGCGAGACAGATTTTTCGTCGAAACGTAAATGTCAGTGCGACTGCCGTCCAGGCTTCCTTGCTTTGGGCGCATAACCATGAGCTACTGCTACCAAACACTTCAGCAACTAGGTAACAGCTTGACTTTGCGCGGGCAGAAGACTGTGTTTATTTGTTGGTGTAGTTCTGCTCTCTGATCGACAAAAGGCAGAATGACTCGTTTTGTAAGCGGTAAGTGTCTTTTCGACTTCTTGTATAACAGTCTCCAACGAATTGTCATACTTAGCGGCTAATAGCAGAAGTTCCTCATAGCCCTCTCTCTGTGAACGTGAGGAATAAGAGTCAGATGAAGCAAGTGAGGGAGGCTGTAAATCTTTCGAATAAAGCGAGGACAGCTGAGCTCGAACGCAGCGACACGTGCAACAAGATATTTATCGTAGGAAATGACTCAATTTTAGAGGAGTTCATTATATCCCTGAGTGCCATTGTGAGCAAGAGAAAAAAGAAAGCATCTTGACCGTGCTGGCAGCTTCGAAGGAGGCAAGGCATCGTGGAGATGGTCAATGGCAGCGATCTGCGTATTTCTTACCTCTAATTGGTTCTGTTTGTCGCGGTGCGTCTACGACGTTGGTTCTGTTAGAATGCATATTGGAGACCTGACGACAATGCAGTTGAAGACCAGGTCCGAGACCCGTGCACAACGTAAGACTAACTAAGAGAGAAGCTTCGAGAAACTGAGAGACACGGGCCTCTGTATGGGAAGCGAACTTGAACCCGTTTATTGGTTGTAGGAGCACGAGGGAGTTTGCAGAGTCCTCGAGTGCTTAACGATCTAATCTATTTACTTTCCATTTTCCTCTCTGGTGTGCAAAGGCTGCCTACGGATCCAGTGCAAACAACAAGAGGTTCTGCTACAGTGACTCTGTAATGGGCCCAACTCCAATTACATAAGTAGGTAGATATCTCTTTAGGTAATACATAAGTAGGTAAAGTGGCACACGCTACCCGTGTGCCAAGGTGTCAATATCTGATTGGCTGATAGTGAGGATCCAGACTCACTTATTGACCAATCAGGTATAGACATGTGTTTGAGTGGTTCACACGAGGCCAGGGGTAGCCGCCCTAGTCCTAAATCAATCCGAGTTGAATTTGACACAAACCTAAGACTTCGTTTTTCTATTGGGAGCTTCCTCCGCACTATAGTGTAAGCTAGTGACGGTAATTCTTACCCCGTTTCACCTGGCAGCGCTTCGTAGTACTTCCAACGACCAAGTCTACGATGAGCCAAGTCCAGATCTCCGGGGTGACCCTGGAGCATGCTGCATTCCCTCATCTCACTCGCGTGGAGTGGGAAGCGCTTCACCGCCTCGTGGCGTTGTCCGGACACGCCGCTGTCGCATCGCTGCTGAACTCAGTGACGCCCGACCAGCAACGTCTTGCGGCACAAGAGTTCATGGAACGCGGGCTCGCCGATGCGAATCGGCGGGTGTCAACTCCCTCGCGTCCATCCCAGAATGAAGTCGTCAAGATGGAGATGTCTTTGTATTCTGGCGCCGGCGACAACCAGCTCCCGCTAAACCGGTGGCTCCGCGAGATCGACTTCGCTATCGCCTCGCGACGCATCGAGGCGTCATCCGCCAAGGTAAGCTTCCTTCTCTCCCGGTTAATTAGGAAAGCCAAAGAATGGGCCCTTGGGAAGCTGGTTGTCGACCCCGAGGCTTTTCCAACTCTGGAAACTCTCCAGAGCGACTTGCGCCTCGCGTTCGTGCAGAATTCTTCGCTCTTCGGCAAGGGAAGATGTCCATGTGTGATTACGTCCAGAAAACGTGACATCTGGCGTCATGCATCGTGACCAAGCCGGTCGACATGGCCTCGCAAGTCCACGTATTCGTGTTCGGCATGCGCGAGGGTATGACTCGATACTGCCTCACCAGAGCTGAGCCCTCCTCTATCGAGGAGGCATATGCACTCGCGATTCGCGAGGATTACATGGTTGCTGCATCGTACGCCGCAGCCATACCTGCGGAAGTCCGAGGGTCTACCCCCGAGCCCATGGAGATCGACGCCATCAACACGTCGAGCGATCGACGTCGCGGGTCCTACCGCGGTAGCGCTGGGCGAAGCAATCGTTCCCTCATTTGCTTTCGCTGTGAGAAGAAAGATCACCGCGCGGCGGAGTGCCGCGCGCCAGCTCTTGTCGTCGCTCACGCCAATGCGGAACATTCCTCGGTCGCTCATTCAAAAACGACCAGGACCAGTAGGTGCAAGGCACCCTACTGGCTTTAACGAAGGACCGAGCCCTCCGGTGGCAGCCCAACCTTCGAGCCCTCTGGTGTTCCAAGTACACACCAATGCCACCACTACGCCGGGCGACTCGAGACTGATCATCGTCAGCCTCCACGTCACCGGTGCTCGGCGACCACTGCGCGCGCTCCTTGACTCAGGAGCGACCAACAACTTTTTTCGCGCGTCGTGTTTGTCGGTACTACCCAAGAGCGTCCGCGTCCGGGACGATACGGGTGAGATTTAGGTCAAAATCGCAGATGGTAAGGCTCGCCGTTGCGCGACGTGACGTGTCCTTGTCGTACACGTTCGATGGTTTCCGTAGCAAGGACGACTTCTTGGTGATCGAGGTGAATTATGCGCTTGACTGCATCCTGGGCATTTCTTGGCTTGCGCGATATCAGCCAGAGATTGACTCGATGGCCCAATCGGTCAAGCGTCGACGTGTATTTAACGTGAGCGAGGTCTTCCCTTACCTCTTGGTGGCGCCAAGAGACTGGCCCTACGTCACAGTCGTGGACAAAACAGCAACGACACAGGCAGTGCACAGAGCGGGCGATG